ACAGGATCTTGTTTCGCTCCATTCCATTAAATGATATTAGAAGGCAGCTTTAATGTGCGCTTAAATGGGGATTAAAACACAAAAAACGAGTAACTGCGACTTTAAACACAATAGCTAATTTGGCAGTCAATATGCGAACGCCGGGTACCAATTTCGTACGATTTCAGCATCATGGAACGAGACTGCGTCGCACCCAAACAGACCACATTCTGTCGCCTTCCCCTTGCTCACCATACTACTGTCGCTAAGCGATTTTCAAGCAAACTGACAGGAATCGCAATCCACCGTAGCATGCTTAAAAATCTAACAAACGCTTATACCAAGACAAACCTTGTATGCTCAGCATCTGACCCAGTTTTAATGCCGCACCGCGTACTCGACACAGTGTGCGTACAATCTTTTCAGCATTTGCTTCTGTCATGAAAGGGTTCTCCTTGATGCCGACTTTTTCGCTCTCTGCTGAAGAATTCGGAACCTGAAAGTGGATCAAATTTAAAAGTGGAAAGACGAAAACAAGCAGCGATGTACACAAAATAACAACGCACTTTACTTATACCCAACGTCCGTTTAGCCACTTCAGCCACTGCACCCATGGCCAAGCTTACACCAAGTTGACCAAACTGAGCAAATCTTGCAACTCGTGAGCTGGGCACCCTCCGTTCACGATTCTTCCCACTCAACAATTCCAGCTCTGGAGCCTTGAAACGATATCCCTAAATGCATATAAAAATAGAACATTCCGAAAACATAATCACTTTTTAAAAAAAATAACTGGAATTTAGTGAAATCCGGAAATCCTGCACAATAATTTACAATTAAAATTCAAACTTTCGGTAAAGGAAATCCATAAGACTTCTTTTCCAGCGGTGGAACTATCGAAGAGGCATTTGTCGTGTGCACCCTGTAAAAACCAATTACAGCTGAATACTGAAAAATCCAGGGAGGAAGTAAATTAGGTCTAAAATGTGTCACTGTTAAGCACCTTATGGCCGTGTCAAAATTTCCAACTGTATTTCCATGCGCTGACCTTTCTTCCGCAGTTAAACGGTTGACACCGATCTTCCACGACAAATC